TGTAGACAGGCAAAATTAGTCCAGTTGACTCCTTCCAACACTGGATCTGCTTTTATTTGCTATTTATTATAAAAATTGAATCTGTATGTTACATAAAAGTTATTTTAAAAACAATAAAGTTCACTCAAAAGTACTAAATCTCAGGCAGAGGGATTTAACACCAAAATCCAGATTTACATGGTAAACCTGAGGGCCAAAAGCATTCAGCTCACAACAAAATCTTACATTTTCTAATAATTCATTACCAGAAGCAAAAACCAATTATGTACATGTTTTAAAATATATGACAAAAACAAAATAACAAATGCTAGCATTCCCTGTGAAGCTAACTACACAAAATATTTCTTCTCAGAATTGGCCCTTTATTTTGTTGAAAGTGAAACAGTTGAAGAGCTTGAAAAATATTTAAGCATGAATATTTAGGTTTATACATAATACATATATGTACAAACACACCCATGCTAATTCTATGCCCCTTTGAATTTTTTAAATTGCACCATCTCTGTTAAGAGAGAACATGTAACATGCAGGAGGCATTCCTAATTGTTTTTCTCAGCCCGTAGTGTATTATACAAGTCAAATGCAAAATTTAAATATGAATTCAGTTCAATTGGAAGCCATCTCAACTCAGTACTTTGGCTCTTAGATATTCTATGCTAATACTTTAGGTTTTGATGGAACTGTTCGAATTTTTTAAAAGGTGAAGAAAATGTAGTTCATTACCAAAAGGTACTTAGTAGATAGGTCTCAGTGGATGTAGAAGTGATGGACCAGAGGCAGGAAGAAACCAGTTAAAAGGGTTTCTTTTCACTGCTTCGGCTTTCAGATACAGCTGAAGAAATTATTACATCCAGGGCATTTTGCAACAGTTATTAGTTTAGGCCATTTCATGTATATAATGTCTTCATAATTCAAACCAGGGTGCAAAATAACTCTTCCCCAGACCAGACTTCCTCTTGTTTCTAGAAAGAAGTAAACACAGATTCTGATGCAATATACAGTTCCTGAAAACAAAGTGGATTTACAGTTACATTCTCATTCTCTGTTATATTGGTATGGATGAAGGATCACTGGATCAGCTCTGAACACTGCAAGGATGCGTTCAATTAGGCATAATTATAGGCTTTGACTTCCCCCCAAATAAATACATGCTCCAGTATTATTTCAAGTTCTCTAGCACATATATATTCTGTTACTATATCAATTTAAGGAGGTGGGTGAGCAGAGAGGGAAAACAAAATAGCTTATGTGGATGGGACAACATTACAAGAAAGTTTAGATGGAAAGAGTATTTGATTGAAAATACAAAGAAATAAAACTAAACCCACAGAATAATTGTTTGATTATTTTAATGGTTTTGAACCCATCAATATTATGCAATATTTTAATTCAACATACAAAATTTAAATCCTGAGACACCTGAAGAACAGAAACAAATATTTCCACTACCAAACAATAATTTTATACAGATAACTCACTGCAGCTCCCCACAGCACATACACTGGAGCTATGCCACAACGATGAGATCTTGGCATCTCTGTTTACCCTGTTTAACACAAACACTTGCTAAGTGACAGTGAAACATGGTGATATCAGGAGAAAATGAAGACGAAGGATGAAGAATGGAGACACGTTATCTGTGTGCCACACAGATGGACCTTGATGTACTTTAGGGAGGGAACACTCACTACACCTTACCTGGAATGCTCAAAACCACCTAGGTTGCTGACCCAGTCTGAGCATTTGGTTTTAATAAGTATTCTTGGGCTTTCCTGGTGGCTCTGCTGGTAAAGAATCTGCCTGCAATTGGGAGACCTGGGTTTGGTCCCTGGGTTGCGAAGATCCCTTAGAGAATGGAATGGCTACCCGCTTCAGTTTTCTGGCCTGGAGAATTCCATGTACTGTATAGTCCATGGGGTTGCAAAGAGTCAGACATGACTGAGCGACTTTCACTTTCATTTTTTTCACTTTAATATTATAGCTAAGAGAATAGAGCACTCCATGATTACAAGGAATAAAAAATAATTAAGATTTTAGCATTAACCTACAACCACTCGCAAATTTGGAAAAATATTACATATATCCAAAACGAATAAATTACATTTTGTACACACAGGGATGCACCTGCAGGCTCATCATTGTGTATGTGTGTGTGTGTATGTAAATAAAATGCATCCAAGCTAGCATAAGCTGTCAACTTTGTTCTGAATAACATCCATATTTATTTTTTGGAAAATGCACTACACATTCTTGGAAAGCAAGTTGTCAACTAGTCTCAAAATTATAATTGAATAAACTTCATTTGCTTCTTTGAAAATCCTCTTCCAAAATGAAGATCTGCTCCAGTATTGCATTCAAGTTGGCAAACACCACAGTTTTGCATGTTAAGTGGTGGTCTCACAGTTCATGGCACCTGTGCTACATCATTCCCAAAGCTACCTAAACACTGGTGTGTAGGATTGAAATACAAATGTTAACTTAAAAATTATGCATCAAGAAAGGAGTTTGCACTAGTAACCAAATTCTTGTGTTTGGAAAACAGCTTACAAAACTCATTATGATAGTAACTTGCTTCCAGAAATGTAGACAGGTGATAAGGGAGATTTAGCTAGTGCCTTCTGCAGGTGGACAGACCCTGGTGACCAGCCAGGAGGGGCTGTAAACTGTCAGGGGAATGGTGTGTACATGCTCAGCTGCTCAGTCATGTCCGACTTTTTGTGACCCCATGGACTGTAGCCTGCTAGGCTCCTCTGTCCCTGGGATTCTCCAGGCAAGAACACTGGAGTGCGTTGCCATCTCCTCCTCCAGGGCATCTCCCCAACCCAGGGATCGAACCCATGGCTCCTTCATCGACAGGCGATTCTTTACCACTGTGCCACCTGGAAAGCCCCAGGGGAATGGTAGTAAATCTGAAATTTGTTTTGAAAAATTTTCCTTATCCAAAGGGGTCAGATTTTTCATACACATTATGAGTAATTATATGACCCCAAATGAACATATTTCCATGTATCATATTCATGTTCCAAACACAAGATAATCCTATCCAACACTGGAACTGGTACACATAAAAATTCTACCGTGCAACACAGATGGAAAACATTAAAATGACAATGATCTCACATTAAAAAGACTGAAAATAACAAAAAACTAGATAGAGTCAGAATCTGTTTTCTTAAGTCCTAGAAGAAAGTTTCATCAGTTATGCCTGGGTCCCTGAGAGCTTGAGTGTTCTGACTAAAGGCAAGTTTTGGTAAGAATTGCATTTTTTACATTGTTCCTCCTCATTCAGAATAAACAGCAATGTTTTAGGCAGCTTTTGGTGTTTTATGTTTCTTTTATAGCTATGACTCAAATTTTATTTGATGTGAACAATTCTTTTCTCTGAATGTCAGCTCAAAGGTGTGTGGCAGGTGAGGGAAGCTACATTTGGCCATAATTTGAAAACTCATTTTCATCCTTCTGGAAGGGATAAGGCAAGGGAAAAAACATACCATACATCACAATCCCATGTTTACAGTGCTCTTTACCCATAGTGTTTTCCAGTTTTGTCGAGGTGCAGTTCATAGATTATTTCATAGTTTGAAATGGCATCACAATGCCTACACACAGAGAAAAACACATCGAAAATGTACATTTCCCCAAAATGAGTCAGTCGGCTTTATTCATTTTACAATGTGCATGATAATAAAAAGCCAAACACAAAACTCTTTATTAAAAAAAAGAGCAAAATGTATTCCCGAAAAGTTCGACAAAGGCATGAGATGAATTTCAGTTAATTAGATCTATTTCTTTGTGAGCTTTGAGAACCCACATTAAACAATGAATAGAGGCTGAGTGTTTCACATTATAATCCTATCTAGACATCATGCAGATGGAGAAGAAAGTATTTTGTTTAACTCTTACTTAATTTCTACAGAGTGTTTGAAAATCAGTTTTAAAGATCCAAATCTGTACCTCTCCCCTCCATCACAGTTTTTGAAGTAATTAAGAATGGTTACCCGTACAACAGCACAGTAACTAGGGAAGAGAGAGGTAGATGATGTGGCCGTCCTCTTGGAAGGAAACCCCCAAATATTTTAGGGCACGAAACACAAGGCTTTTGTTATCCAGAAATAATTAGCTGCAGACTACAAAAACATTTTGGAGCCAAGTGCGCACAAACGTGAGACTCATAAGCAGTCGAAACCAAGTATATTAATAGTAAGTTCTTAAAGAAAAGGATGTGTTCTCTGTACCTTACAAAAACTATTCTCACAGATTTTGAATCCAAGATTACACAATAGAAAATATTTATATGTTTTGCATTTGATATAAAAATTAGTAGCAAATAAAAAAGGCTCCGATGATATACAAGAAGTTGCAGAGGATACATTAAAATTTCAGGATGGCCCGAGGATGACTTGTCCTAAATACCCTGCTCCTGTCCTGTGCAAAGGCCACAGGCAGGCACTTTCTCAGGGTTCATCACTGTTGTTAAGAGAAAACCAGATGAAGGAAGACTCAAACAAGCTGGGGCAGGAAGTAAAAATTAAACCAAGGAGGAGCTCTGCCAAGCACAATGCATCCTGCCTAAAAGTATTTAAGAACATAAATCAAAGACAGTGCTGAGTGCACCTCAAGGGAATTAATTTATGTTGATGAGTTTATGGCCTAGGTGATAAATATCAAAACAGGAAGTCAGTTAAAACAAGTATGCAAGTAAGTCATATCTCATCTTCAAAAGGTAAAAACTGCAGCGTAGAGATTCAATAATTTCATGGCCCCATTCTACCCTCCAAGTGTACACTTCTTATATCTCTATAAGTTAAAGATCAATTATTCACAAAACTTTGTTTCAGTGTTAATACTTTTTACCTGTTTTAGACACTGAGTTGCCTTATTATAATAAGACATTTGGTTATAGTTAGTCATAATTATCCATTGTTCATCTTTATAACTTAGGAAATTTTAGTTCTCATTTAAAGCCCTGGAATGTACTTTTAAAAATTATTCTCTTTAGGTCAACATTTATCTAGGCATGTTTGCAAACGTTCTGTTACAGGGGGAGGAAGAGTATTGAGCAAATTCTCCTCGACAATCAGACAGCTCCGTTTTAGGGACTGACACCCTTCCAGTTCAGGAGGAAGTGTTTCCAGGTAATTACCGATGAGCTCCAGATGAGTAAGGTTCGACAGCTCACCCACGTGAGGTGACAAGCTCATCAGGCTATTTTTCCCCAAGAGTAAACACTGCAGCTTTTTGCACTGAAACAGCCCGTCTGGAAGCATCTCAATCTGGAAAGGGAAAAAAAAGAAGCCAGTAAAACTGGTTTTTGAGGGCCTACTATACTACAAGTATTTATTTATACCCCTACCTTTCCCCAAAAACATTTCTAGACATTTTACAGAGGTACATATGACAATGATGATACATTTGAAGTAGATGGGAAGCTTACAGGAAAAATAAGGACGTTCTGGAGTCAGGATTGAGGCCAAGAACTTGGAAACCCCTGCTGTATATGGATGGGCAACAGATTAGATCTAACAATGAAATTCTCAACTCTCAAAGGAAACCTATCAGTTACATACTCATTTACAAACCAGGAACTCAGGAGAAGCAAATCATTCTCAACAGTCCTCAAAGAGTTTACTGTGTGAGGTAATGAGCTATACCCTCAAAAACAGACACAAGAATATTTCTTAGGGTTTCACAATATTGACTGAAAACTTCCTTCTGGTTTTAAAAAAAAAACTGACAGAAGCACAGACAAGAAGATGCGATCGTATAAACATGTCCGTTTCATTCTGCTCTACATGCATGCTCATGAGTATTAAACTCTCTTCCTGCTCCTGAGAGTTTTAAGTCATATGAAACAGAGAAATCATTTGGAATATAATAAATAGCCTGCGATTAGGTCAACACATAGAAATGCTCAACTGAACTGCTCCTCTATCTGGTGGGAAGGCTGAATGTGAGTTTCTAAGGGAGCCACAGTGTGTATATGAAATGGGCTTATTGGGGAAAGACACCCAGAGAAAGGGATAGCATACTCAATGTGCTCAGCTCTCATTCTGCCACTGAACTGCAAGTTTGTTCCAGGCCAAGCTGGACTGCACATACTCCACCCTCTAATGCTTCACAAATTTATACAGGCCTGGACCAGGCATCTCTGCAACTATGAACCAATGCAGGCTCCCTAGTTCAAGAAGTTGCCTTGTTAGAAAGAGGGATGAATGGGGCGCTCCAGAGTTCAACTTGCTCCTCTGATGACCTAGTACAACCCCACTGAGCCAGTTCCCTGCAGGAACTTCCAGAGCCTTCCAGAAATATCTCTTTAAGAAGATAAACATTCCCTATACAGTGTAAAAGATGGTCAGACTGCATTAAAAAAAAAGGCTTATTACGTTGGAATCTGCCCCCTCCTCCATCACTTATACATACATTCAGTATTGGATATCCTTGAAAATAACTCTAATGATCACTGCTTCTAAGACTATCATGTAATATAACTCATCATTCTACATCAAAATATTAGGTGGTATAAGCAAAGGAAAATATGTACCCTTTTATTTCATTCCTTAAGAATGCAGATACAAAACCACAGATATGTCAATTTCAGTATAGATATGGCAGAGATATGAGAGAGAAAAACATAACCTCCTTCTGATCAGACATTATCTGCAGCTCAAAAATAGGGTCAGTGACGTACAAGTAGAGGGAATGATCAGTCCTGTGCCACGAGTGTGCTCAGGGCTGAGAGTGCCTGCTGGCACAACAGGAATGACTGAGGCAAACAGGGTGAAAGGAGGGCAGACTTGTCTCACTTGTATTCAGTGGATGCCTTTTGAGAGCCTTGTTCTGTGCCAGGTTCCCAGCCGGGTGGCGGGGATGAGTAAGACCGATGGGTCTTTCGGACCCACGCAGGGTCTCTCCACCTTGGCACTGCGGACATTCGGGGCGGGGTAATTCTCTGTGTGTGGGTGCCCTGTGCACGCAGCAGTATCCCCGGCCTCTTCCTGCTACACGCCAGTGCCACTGCCCTCTCCAGCTGTGACAACTAAACGCGTCTCCGGACAAATGTCTTCTGCAGGGTAAAACTGCCCTCCTTTGAGAAGCACTGGTCTACTGGGGAAGAGAAGTATTAAACAATTATGGAGATCATTGGTCTACAATGGCTGCTATGAAGAAGAGTGCCTTAACCAGGGCTGCATCAAAGAACCCCAATCTCTCTTCTTCAGTCAAGTTTCCAGACTCCAACAGGTATCTTAATTGTACTGATTTTTTAATTGGGTGAAGACCGTAAGCCATTTTCCTCTCTGGCTATCAGCACTACCATGTCTCACTTCTTTCAAATCTCTGAATTTGTGATTTTAGCTTCCTCTCAGTCCCCAGTACAGGTGAGGGGTTTCAGCAGGCAAGGAGAGTGAGCCTCTGGGGTTGGCCCCTCAGTAGTCACTGTTGAGAAAGTGAGTGAAAGGCTGTGGACAATGCACACTTCCTGAGCGCTAACTGTCCGTCTCAGCCAAACGTACTGAAGCCCTCAGAACAGCCGAGGAAGGATGGTTCTCTTCCTATATTCATGGCTGACGCTGACAATTAGATATTTCACTGTTTCCCAGAGGCTGGGACCTCACTTCAGAATTCTTCTCAGTGTCAGCTTTCCTATTTTTCTGGCCACTGACACATGCTATTTCAGAACATGCCAACCTAAATCCATAAAGTCCAATCATTTCAAGAAACAAAGCTGAATATTTCCATATCTAAGTGATAATGTCCAAACCAACATGGAACATTGCCACAGAAATGATCTTTAGAGGGGATTTCTACACTATTCACCTTTGGGCTAAAAGTCTGTGAGTTAATAAAATGCATTTAAATACAGAAATAGAGAAGTTGGAAGACTGAGGTATAAATTGGAGTCATTTTTAAGATTTGAGCAAAACCATTAAATCCTCCTCCTTTCCTGTGCTTCTTGGTCACATCCAACACCATCATAATCCAACTACACTTTGGCACTGGAGAGAGCTGGAGGTTGCCTCTTCCTGCCCCGTCACCCACACACACCACTGCTTCCCATGCAGCATCATTTGGACTGATGCATCTGAGCTGCAGGAGAAGGAGCACTGGAGGAGGAGCTGAACAGAGGTTCCAGCCCAGATCCATCACTGGGAAACTTCGGACCCCGGGCAAAGTGCTCTGAGCTTCAGTTTCAGTATCAGTAAAGTGAGAGCAGTGGATTAGAACAGAGGCTGGCAAAGACTGTCTCAAAAGAAGCAAGAGGGACCTCCCTGGGGGTCCCGTGGTTTAGACTTCACCTTTCAATGCAGGGGGTGGAGGGGAGCAAAGACCCCATATGTCTTTGGGAACTAAGATCTCAAAAACCCAAAACAAAAAGTAGAAGCATATTGTAACAAATTCAATAAAGACTTTAAAATGGTCCACATAAAAAAAAAAAAATCTTAAAAAAAAAAGGGGGGGGAGCAGGATAGTAAATATATTGAAGGTTCCGCAGGCCAAATGGCAAAATTGAAAATACTATGTAGGTAATTATAATAACAAAAGGAAATTTTTTCATATATTTCTAAGTGATGTAGTGAAAAATAATAACAAGTTTTTTTGTAATATAGGCCCACTAGGGAGAACAATGGAATTTATTTATGGATGCTAAAATTTGGATTTCCTATAATTTTCAAATATGAGGAAGTATTATTATTTGATTTTCTTTCCCCAATCACTTAAAAATTTAAAAACCATTCTTAGGTCAGGCTGTGAGTGGATTTGGCTCCAAGGCTGTAATTTGCTGACCTCAGGACCAATGATCCATGGTATTCCTTTCATACATGAGTCTCTTTTTAATCTATATTCCTACTTCTAAATCATAACTGACTAAAACTTCCCAAGGGGTTCTGTTTCTCGACTGTCCTTTTCCAACCCTTGAGTATGCCACAATCAGTGCCTCCTCGGAGGCACCAATTCAGGTTACCTAGCACTGTCAGGCTCAAGCCTCACCTTAACTACCACCCAGTGACTCAAACTTGAACGAGACTGGCAGAATTCAAGGCAGTCTCCATTCTGACCCTCCGTCTAAAGGCTGTCATCTCTTACTACACCTGGGCATGACCTCTATCCTCCCACATTTCCCCAATCAGTGTTCTCAGAACACTCCTCTCAAGAGTTACCATAAAAGAGGGCCTTGCTCAAATACGTGTGCCAAATGTTGCACACCCTATCCTCCTCTTCAAGAAGCACAATGCATGTTCATATGACAAAGGTTCTGAGGAATCCGGCCGCAAAAACATGCTAAAAACTGTTTCATGTTTTTTGTGAGAAGACCTATCACTATCCCATGGAGTAAAGTCTGGAGTGTCCGCTCAGTGAATGTCTTTTATCTGGGGGCTGCCCAACATCTTCAATGTCTAGAGAATTCTCTACCTTATCTTCATGGGGCTCTTGGTGGGAAGCAGCACCCACTTCCCCCTAGAGGACTGACACCACCAGATTCTTCTGTTCCCTGATGTCCTGCAGCTCGAGTGTGAGCATTCATGAGCATGAGCATGTATATGTGCTCATTCGTGTCTGACTGTGCTACCCCATGGACTGTAGCCTGCCAGTCTCCTTTTTCCATGGGATTCTCCAGGCAAGAATACTGGAGTGGGTTACCATTTCCTTCTCTAAGGGATCTTCCTGACTCAGGAATAAAACCAGCGTCTCCTGCATCTTCTGCATTGGCAGGTGGATACTTCACCACTGAGCCACATGGGAAGCCCGTGAGCATTCACAAGCTCTATCAGTTGCTTAGATGTGGGGCTCAAGGCATAAAGCAGAAACTGCGAAGAACCGATTTTGTGGGAGAGCAAGGGTCACAGTAACAGTAGCATCGTTTGCAGGGCAGCACGGGTGCTCAGTGCTGGTATGGCCAGTGTTGGGGTATCCTCTTAATTTTACCTTTGTACTACGATTTTGGCTGCTTTTCTCTTGCTATCTAACTTTGTCCTTGTTTCCCAAGCCCGATTTTGTAGCCTTTTCAGTAATGAGATATATGACATCTTTTCAATAAACGTCTTTTCTGCTTAACCCCAGAGTTAGCATCTGTTGCCTACATCTTATGAACCTGACACTATGCCCAAGTCTTTAAAAAAAGTGTTCTTTCTGCAATCCTTACCAACCTCCACTCCAGAGAGAGGAATCAACTCACGGTTCTGAGTATAAGCATATCTAAATATTTATGCGGCAGGTTTGATGCTTCATTTTCTAAGTTTTATAAATATTTTGGTCTACCTTACAGAGTCATGAGAACCTTTAGGTTTCAAGAAGAAACCGTTAAGTTAGTTAAATTCCTACATAAAACATGAATCCTCAGTTCCCTTTACCAATGTTCCCACCCAGCGGCTGACAATTGACATCGGGACAGTTTTATTAAGCAAATCACTTCTCCCTTCTCATTCATTCAGTCTCTGGACAGCTTTCTTGGGAAAGATGAGAACTCTCCTCTTGCTTGTCAGCTCTAACACTAACAGCAGCTCCCAACAGGCTTTCTTCCTAAGTAGGGCTCCTGAACATTTGTAGACCAACAGTGTGGACTGTTCTCTTTCCCTTCCCCTCCCAGTGCTTCCCATCGCTAGGCTACACTGTCCCACCAGAGAGGGACCTTTTACGCCTCTGGCTGCTGTGTTCCAATTTCACCATGCCCTTAGCAGGCAAACAGGCCTTCCCTGGTGGCTCAGATGGTAAAGCATCTATCTGCCTGCAATGCGGGAGACCCGGGTTTGATCCCTGGGTTGGGAAGATCTCCTGGAGAAGGAAATGGCAACCCATTCCAGTATTCTTGCCTGGAGAATCCCACGGATGGAGGAGCCTGGTAGGCTACAGGTCACAAAGAGTCGGACACGACTGAGCGACTTCACTTTAGCAGGTAAGTCTCTTCACAGTTCTGAGAAGAGTGCTTCTCACCCAGTGCAAGATTTGCAGTCATTACAACAGTTCTGAGGATGCTCACAACTGCTGGTTATGACTTCTGAGACAACACGGCCAAAGACAGCATCGTTCTTGGGCCATAAATTATCTTAAGCATAAGAATTTTCATATGCTTGATTATCAAGTACCCTTTCCTTATTCAAGACAAAATATGTCTCATACTAACACCTAGTCTCCCTTTCAGCCACAAAAGAGGTCAATAAACTTAGTGTCAACAGTACCAACAGTCTCACAGTTTCATTACATTAAACTAGAGACGATCATTAACTTGCTTATAGATTAAGATAATTATGGTTAGATGACAATTTAATCAGCTGTGACTTTCAAAACTCCATGAAGTGATTTAATTGGAAAACAACTTGGTGAAACCAATACCTTTCAAAATAATTATTTATATTTTTTAGTACAGGTTTAACAATAGAAAAACTGTGACCAAAATGCTAATATTAATCAACGGCATAATTAAGCAACTGCTGCTACTGCTACTGCTGCTAAGTCACTTCAGTCGTGTCCGACTCTGTGCAACCCCATGGACCGCAGCCTACCAGGATCCTCCATCCATGGGATTTTCCAGGCAAGAGTACTGGAGTGGGGCATCATTGCCTTCTCCCAATTAAGCAACACTAATGCTAAATCTCTAGACCTGTAATTTTCAAAGTATGGTCATTAGACCAGCAGCACCAGCTTCACCTGAGATTTTTAGCACGATAAACTCCTGGTTCCTACACCAGACCTACTTACTGAATGAAAAACCCTGGGAGTGGGGCCAAGAAATCTGTGTCTCAATAAGCCCTCCAGGTAATTCTAAGGTACACTGCTAACTTTTAAAGGAGTTTTAAAACCTCATAATCTTATAATGGGTTCTATCCTTCTACATATAGTGAAGCCACAGAGTTCTGAAAGTCAGCATAAATTCTATTCTTTCCCCAACTCTGGTATTTTTCCAATAATCTATGGTTTCTTAAAACACTGTCTGGTGATCAATATGTTTATTGGCCAATTCCATGCTCACAGATATATTTAGCATGAAATATAAACTATAAAAAGTCTAGGAGTACATCTATGGCTAATTCATGTTGATGTATGGCAGAAATCAAATTAATATTGTAAAGCAATTATCTTTCAATTAAAAATAAATAAATAAAAAAGTCTAGGAGATAATACATTTTTGGGTGGGGTAGAAGAAAGTAGTTCCCACTTTAACTAGAGGGGAGTCACTTTCATCTTTTGGCAGAGCTGATTTCTGACAGGTTTTTTCTTCTTTCCATATGGATATTACCATCAGTCTCTTGCCCTTTCAGCCAACATGATTTTTGTCTTTTTCCTCCTTCTTCACATTTTAACCTAGGAAACTACTCATTTATTCTGTTTTTTCTTGCTTCAGCTAAGTTAAGTTCTCCTTAATTTGGTTTTACTGTTGCAAATTATGGTTCATTTTTAAAGCATGGATGCTGGAAAAAGCTTCTAAGAAGCCCTAGTGCTGCATTACAGAACCAGGCCTTTCATTTTGAATCGTCTTTCTAGACGTGCATGGAGATTTCAAGTGTTTCTTACTGCATCACAGAAAGAACTTATGAATAATTCACAATCCCAGAATTTTCTACAAGAAGTTCTCCTATGTTAGACTTGGAAAGCTGAAAAATTTTATGAAACTTTCTAAATATGGTACTTAAGCCTTTTCTGAAACGAAACTAAGCTCTGCCATAACTTTTGTGATGTTTATGTTAAAAAACAGGGAAAGAGGATAAAGAGAATATTTGAGTACCTACTACGTGCCAGAAACTGTGCCAAATGCTTATATATATATTTTTTTCAAAAAATCTCCATGACAACTTGTAAATTACATTAAAAACTGACTCTCAGGGTTTTGATAATTCGTCCACAGTCACATGTCTAGTAAGTGGTAGTCAGGACAAGCTCAAGATGCTTAGCATGACATAAAGTCCATTATCTTTAGTGACATAAAGTCCATTATCTTTAGTGACATCACACACTGCAACAGCAGATGCTCAAATGACTGGCCAAAAAAGGGGAAGAATGGATTTACTTACGTTGTTATTGGTCACAGCAAAGTACTGCAAATTACTCAGATACTGGATTTCTTCCGGAATGAAGGTAAGGTGGTTATAGCTTAGATCCAAATAATGTAGTTTGGTGCATAGGAAAAGCTGCAGGGGCAGGTTCTCAATGTTATTATGGTCCAAAGAGAGCTGCTCTAGATTAGACAATGCCCCGATCTGGGCTGGAATATAAGCAATGTTATTGTGCCACAGCTTTAAGCAGGAAAGATTCTGGAGGTGCTGAAAGCTAATGATCTCTTCCACAGTTTTAAGGTTATTTTCTCTGAGGTCTAACTCATGCAAATTGTTCAGACTGAAAATGGAGTGTGGAATACGTTCCAGGTCACAGCTGATCAGCTCCAGGCTTTTCAGGTGGACCATTTTTTTCAGGTTGTTCAATACAACCAGCTTGCTCCCCTCATTATCGAGGGACAACTTCTGTAGTGAAGGCAGGAGGTCCGTGATGACTTGTGGGATCCGGGAGAGGCTGCTCTTCAAGTAGAGGGTCCTCAGGCTTTTCAGGTCCTGAAAGCCCTCTAGCTGCATGGTGCTCACCTGCTCAGGCAGCACACAGCCCGATAGGTAAAGCTCCTTGAGATTCTTCAGGTGAAACACCCAGCGTGGGATTTTCCCCATTTCAGTAAATTTCAGGCGAAGAATTTTTAAATTCTCCTCTAGAAAGGCCAGGGCGGGGTGGTCGACCACCAGGGACGAGTGGTACACGTGGAGCTCCTTGAGGCTGACCAGCTGTGAGATCGCCGAGGGGAGCTTGACCTCAGGGATCAGCTCCAGGCTTAGCACTTCGATTTCTGTCAGCTCGAAGACATTGTCGGGAAGACCGTTTAGCATGAAAAGGTGCAGTTCTACCTTGTCCTGGGCATTTTTCACAAGCTTGCTTTTTAGTTTCTCGACCGTCCATTCATTGTTGAGGTTGATCTGTTTCAGTTTGTTTTCACTGACCTCTGACAGGAATATGGAGAAGCGTTTGGAGTAAAGCGGGTCGTACTGATCAGCCAGATGGAGGATAAAGGCGAAGTCGTTCTTGACATCTGGGATGTCGCTGTAGTTGCTTTTTTCTCTCAGCGCCTCGAAGGAATATTGCTTCAGAGAGCTCCGCAGCATCCACCACAAGCTGTAAGACGAGGTGAGACCATAAAGGATAACCAAGATGACGTAAAATGAAGCCAGGACCTTGAATATTTCTGCCAAGGAGTACACACACTGGTAGCGCTTGTATCCAGTAAAAGCCTGCACGTCCACTGAACAGTCAATTTCCAGAGTGATGTAGGTTAAAAAATACGGAACGTAAGTTATGATGAGGACAAACAAAATGACTTTGACTATGATCTGCTTCAGGTACACTCTGTAGATGACGTCCTTCTGCTCCACGTGCAGGCGGAACCTTTTCACTTTTTCAAAGATGGCTTTGGCCTGTTCGCCCTCCTTCTTGTCCAGGACGCTAGAGGTCGGGCTTTCTATGCCAGCTGACTCTAAGCCAGGCTGTGGGTAGGGCAGGGACTGCTTGCTGGCGTCCACGTCGCCGGCTGAGCACCCCGAGGAGAGCAGAACCTTGGACTTGGAGAGGGTCAGGGGCCTCACTGACTGCTCGGCCACCGTCTCTGACAGGGCGCGGGTGGTCCAGGGAGAATCGAAGCACTTGTGCAGGATGGCCACAAAGTGCTCGAGCCTGGAACTGGTGCTGGGGTAGTGAAGCCAGAAGTTGCTGCAGGCTGCGAAGATGAGGGTGTGCAGGAGCACCAAGTAGGGGAAGAACTTGGCGAACCAGTGGAGCTGCTTCTCGTAACAGACGGCGTCAATGTAGGAGTACTGCTGTCGGTGGAGGTCGTTCTGGATTCTCAGGGGCGGCGGAAGTGGCATCCCGGCATCGGAGGATGCGTTCACGCTGGCTTTCAGGATGTCCCAAGGCACGGCGCAGTGATTGTCAAATTCCACCTTACAGGGGAGACAGCACAGAACCCTGCTCTGTGTGAGCTGGAGGGCTCCAGCCAGCACGGCCACCAGCAGCATGATCAGGGTGATGTAATACCAAAAGACGTCCCACCACGGCTTCAGGATGTGATAACATGACTGGGCGTCTGCTAGACATTTTAGCTCTGTTAGTGTAATCATGGCTTTCCCTTGTAGAAGGACAGAAACTGGAAGAGGAAAATAAAAGAAAAACTGCTGAAGCAAGTACCCCAAGTAAGCTTAAACTTTAATGCTTGTACATATCCAAGGAGGATTTAGCTCAGGGGCAAAACCAGGCAGGCAGGGGTGATGATGAAAAAGTACCAAAGTCCCTTGGCTTCATTCAAAACCTTAGGCTATGCCAACTGAGAACTATAAAGTCCCTTAGATGAGAGACTATTTGGTGACCGCTAGACTGGATCTCTGCAAAGGTATCTGGGGTAGAACATGAAGCAACTATCTAGCTTCCTCCTGCATCTCCACTTCATGCTAATCTATTAAAAACCAGAAGCTGAATTTTCTTCAATCAACATTAGGAAATTCTGTTCCTATGCTACTGATTTCTAACAATCACATGTTGTACCTCCTAAATGGTCTGAATAAGTTCTATTTCACATCTCACTTCCAAGCCTGGAGCATCGGTTACAGCCTAGGAGCTGTGTTTCAACCACTACAGGAACTTCCTTTGAGCGAGCACTACTTTATAAAATCACCCCTTAGGATTAGCAGGATCTACCAATCCTATCTATGTTCAGAAAAATTATGATTTAATATATTATCTCCTTTTCCCTCAAGCTCTAACTTTGTAACTTAAATTCATATCCAACTTAGAATACTTAAAAGCTGACACATAATGGTAATGGCTTAAAAAAATGGATGGGGAAGAAAGCCCTAGTTACAACACCCTACTATGGGGACTCTCTTGTATTTAGTGTTTTGACGGCAAAGTACTAATAGTACAAATTATTAAGGGCATATGCTAATATTATTTTTGCCTTCAGAAACAACAAGGTTCATTTTTCATTTTCATATTGAAAAGTATTCAGACATTGCTCCTTACAGAAATGACTTACATGATGTTCAGCCTTACATAAACCAATTGTTTAAAAATTGTTAACTGGTAAAATCCAGACCACCTATATGATGGCACAGAGTAAAGACAGATAAAAGGAAACACGTGGATCTGATAACAATTCTGGTTAAAAAGAATCACAGTAGTATGGTCATCCTTGCTAGTGGTCCAGCTACAACCTTCATCCAAGGACTTCTTTTGCACTTTTTTGAGTCTAAAGTCTTACCGTCTACCCTGGGCCTGAGTTTCTCTCTCTAGATACCCTAGTCCTGGTAGCATCACCAAGAAAAACTTTTTTGCTCTCATCAGTACTCCTCTGAGGGACTGGTATCCTGCCTTGAACCCTAAAATCCCACTACAGAGGCTCTGGTATCTATGATAAGTGTCTTTTCTTTTGCTCGTCAGCTTTAACATTTAACAGGCCATCTGACTCTGAGCCCTATACCTTCATGCTCTCCCCCTTGTTAGAGCATCCCAGGATCTCTGATTTTAACTACTGGCCTGCAGCACGAGTTTCCACCTGCATCCTTTCTAGGCAACATCATACTATATGGATTCAACTTCCTCTTAGGACCCATGACTTGATTAAATAACTCTCCAGGGCTTCCCTCCTTTATTCTGGTTTAGTGGAGAGTTAGAAAGATCTAACTCTCAACTCCTCCCTTTCTGCCTCACTCCACTGCAGTTAATTATAACTGTGTCAAGACATGACAAAAACCCAAAACAAGAGGATTATAGGCAACAGATAGAAAGTCTGGACTTGGACCCCAAAATACTGTAAGTACGATAGGAGAGAAGGATGGCAGAAGACACTGCTGGGTGAACATGGGAAAAATACCTAAGGATTTTAGTTGACATGAGTGCATGTTTTAAACTAACTGTGTCATAGCTTTTATGCAACATATAGCTATATTTATGCCCCATATAGCTATAACATGACTGTAATCTGTGGCGATATTAATTCATGAACCCAGATAAAGGGGCAGTGGTCCTTCTGTGCCTGCCTGGTGAGATCACACCTGGAACCCAACATTGAGTCACAGGTTAAAGACTAATTGGACACTGAAATAATCAGGAGCTACTTGTCTACGAACCATTTCCCTTGGAGGAACACAGGAAATTGATGATATTCAGCTGAGATAAAAGATGACTAGGGGAGTCTAAGAATTCATCTTTACCTTTTTGAAGGACTACCTCATGGATTAAAGAATAAGTGCATTTCTTCCAGAGGCAGAACTAAGAGGGTGCACATTTTAGAAAGTGGTATTTTGATTTAATTTGTACCGTGACATCCACAGAAATAGTTCTGTGAAATAGTTTAGGCCCTTCTCCCTACCAGGACTGAGCTAAATAAGATGACCATCTGTCAAGGATGTTGTGAAGGAATTTCTTGTAATGGATAAAGAAAGTGAAAGAGATCATCTCTAAGGGCTCTGCCAGCTCAAAGTCTATAGCTTTATTTGTCCTCTCAAAGATCCTCAGAGTTAAATTCATTAACGCTACACAATAAACTATAGAATAACATAAACACAAACAGCTTTAACAATAAGGGTATCTGACACAGAGCAAACATTGATTCAACAAAGAATACAAGTCAACATTGGCCAAAACAATATACTTTAAATGTTTATACTTACTAAAATGGAAAAAAAAAAAAATGAATCCAGTAAGTTGACTGTACTTCAATCAGGAGGCCTACACCTTTTGAAATTTCTTAGACACACCATCTCTGTGATTGTCTTCATTCTAAGAGAAAGTATAGATATCTTGAAATAGCTGTGATCATTCAAACAAACAAAATTGGGGATACTGTCTTTAGAGCCCCTCTCCATCATAAGACATGGCAAGTGGATTTTCATAGCTCAGTTTACTTTTCACACTGGAGGACATTCTGGCAAAGCTACTTATATCCCATCCACAGACCAGATCGCATACGGCCTCTGACCTTCCTTAATTTATAGAAATGTTTCTACAGAAATTTACATGTTATTAATAACATATTTTAAAGTGCCATAGCTACAACATTTGGGTGAACACTTAGCTTTTTCCAGGCAGTCTACATACTCTAATTTTGCTCATTCAGTTGGTCTTATTTGCATTCATCAGATGGCCTGTCAAATCATATAATTTCTGCACTTTATCACACATCTATCCAAAGAAGACTCAGTGCTCTTAAAATTCAGACTACTAATTCATTAAATATAGTTACAAGTTAATAACTTACACAGCTCAGAAATAAGACTGAAATTCTCTGAAATTATATTATTAAATGTAGCTATCCTTTACGTTAATAGGTTTTTGCTTTGTACATAGTAAGTTAATAAAAGCCATGCTTAGCATCTATTTCAATCATTTTCAATAATTTAAATATACATATACTGATTCATTTGAAATGTGAGAACATTTAAAAACATACAAAATTTTTTTTAGTTGGGTGTGAAAATTGTATTTTTGAGTGCCTATGTATCCTCTGAAAAGTTGCTGAGAAGGCTTATATATTTGCCTGGAATATACAATCCTTTTTTTGGTTTATTAAATACTCGAAATCCAGCTCAGAGTACTGACCCCAAATTATACTTAAGGTACTTTTAGTAATACTCTTGTAACCTTGTCATTTTCAAAGATCAAAAAGTTAGCATGTCTGAAATTTACTTTGGATTTACCAATCCATGTGTAAAAGCTTCTTTATAACTACTACCCAGGATCAAATTATTTTTCAGGCCAGAAAGCACAGTGTGTGACAATCCAAGCGTGTATTAACTCATACTTAGCACCACTGGAGTATGAGTTTCTTATTCACAATTCATTTTTAAAAGTCTGACAACATATAATAGACAACTGCATTTATGTGTAGTAAGCACGATAAAGACATTTGGTGTGTGAAACATTTTACATATTGTTCCACTGCATTGCAGCTGTAATGTGCCAGGAGAGAATTTATTGCATAATTCTAAAATGCTGCCCAGCCATCACAATACTCACTATACAACACAGTTTCCCTAAAGACTGCAAATATATTTTCTACTTTAGACACAAGAAGAAAAAAACAGAATCACAAACTTCCAACTACAGTAATGGTTTTAAAATAACCAGAATGAGAGATTGCTATAACTAACCTTGTTAGAGGACCACAATTCACTACAAATTTGTGACATTTATTCTAAATTATTTGTAAATCATTTTTCCTGTTCATCTTTTTAAGAATTATAAACTTTTCCTCTAATCACCTAATTTAGACTTCCTTGGATAAGTTCCTTAATTATAAGAGAACAAATAAATATCTATTATTAATAATCTAATATTGGTTTTCTTACTGTCAAAGCACTTTCACTTACACTAGTTTTATACCTGCAACAAACCATTATAATAAGTATGAGTTGTTACATTTTATAAACACGGAAAATAAAGCAGGCCCAAAGGTATTATCTTGTCCAAGGTGACAAGAACAGCAAGAAATAGTTACAACTAGAACCTAGGTCCTCAGGATAAAATCTCAAGGCTCCTCCACACCAGACCACATTGTCCAGGCCACTCAATCCAGTTAACTATGCCAATCTCAGTTCTTTCAAAAGCTAAGAAAAAGTTGAATATTTAACTCTTTTCCCTAACTACAATGGACTGAATATTTGTGTCCCTGAAAAATATGTATTTTGAAATCCTAATGCCCCAACATGACAGGATTAGGAGGTGGGACCTTGGGAGGTAGGTCATAAGGATGGTGCTTTAGTGAATGGGATTGGTGCCCTTATCAAGGGTCCCCAGAGAGCTCTCTTGCCCCCTCCACTTTGTGAAGAAACAGAAAGAACGTGGCCATCTACAGACTAGGAAGTGAGCTCTCATCAGACACTGAGTCTGCTGATCTTAGACTTTCCAACCTCCAGAAACTTTGAGAAATAAATGTTTGTTGCGGTAGTTTGCTGTATAGCAGCCTGAAGGGACTAAAACATCAACTTACCCCAACATCTGCACTATAAGTGGGCTCCATTTTAATCTTTGGAAAGACCAGGCTATAAATGTATAGCTTTCTGCAATGTCTCCAGTTACATACTATATAATCTGCTTTCTCAGCTAAACTTTTTCTACTAAACAT